AAGGTGTTGAAGCTTCTTTGCCTTTGCCAGATCTTCAATGGCACCTTTGTTAAGCTCAATAAGACTTCAATTCACATGCTGAGGATTGTGGACCCATATATTGCATGCTCCTTGGAAATCTTATACAGGGTCACTATGGGTCGGAACCGACTCAATGGAACTTAATAACAACAACGACAACAACAATACTGCATGAGGGGAATCCTGATGTGGCGCTGTGGGTTAATGCATCCGACTGGAAAGTCACTTGAACTTCAAGGTCAGCAGTTCAAGCTCACCAGCTGCTTCTCGGAAACCCTAGGGCTGGAACTGACTTGACAGCACTTCACAACAACAGCCCAAACCTGAAGTCAGTGAATGAACTGATCTACAAGCGTGGATATGGCAAAATCGGTAAGAAGCCAATTGCCTTGACAGATAACACGCTGACTGCACGTTCTCCTGGTAAATATAGCAACATATGCATGGAGGATCTGATTCATGAGATCTACACTGTTGGGAAACATTTCAAAGAAGCAAATAACTTCCTGTGGCCCTTCAAATTATCTTCTCCTCATGGTGGAATGAAGAATAAGACCACCCATTTTGTACAAGGTGGAAATGCTGGCAACAGGGAAGACCAGATCAACAGACTTATTAGAAGGATGAACTAAGGTACTTACCATGGTTACTTTTGTAATCTGTACTAAGACAGAAAATGTTCTTAAATTGAAAAAAAAAAAAATTCTTGACAAAAAATTCCATTTTTTTCCACAAACTTTTTGAAGCCCTTGATCCACTATTATAGTTCTTCAAAGGAAATCAGGAATTAGCAGAAACTACCACCATCCTATATGAAAGAGTCCTGGTGTGGCACTGTGGGTCAATGAGCTAGATTGCAAAGTCAGTTTGAACTGCAGGGTCAGTGGTTCAAGCTCACCAGCTGCTCTGTGGAAACCCTCTACAGTGACGCTGTGGATCGGAACTGAATCAACAGAACTTAACAACAACAATATGAAAAGAAGACATTGTCTCTTCAAGAAATGATTCTCCAAATAACTTACCTTTTACAAGAACATCTTGCTATAAACCTTTTCGGCATACATATAACACTATTGCTCTTCATTTGGAATGTTGAGTTATAGAAACGAAATACCAGCAGCACACATATCCATGATACTAGTAGCTCTAGCACCATTCTCTAAGGCATGACTTGGCAAAGTGCTGCCTTAACAGACTGAAATATATAAATGACATTCTTGACTGTTATGTACTGTGGAATCAGTTCTGACTCACAGCAACCCTACTAGTACTGGGTTTCCAAGGAGCGGCTGATGGATTTGAACCATCACCCTTGCAGTTAGCAGTCTACACCAGGACTCCAACTAAATTCTTAGGCATTATGAAGTAGGAGGTTATAGGAAATCCAATTGTCTAGGTACCCTGGTGCAATGCTGTAGGATAAGCACTGGCCTGCTCTCTGCTCCCTATATTTCATTGGCTCTAAAAGCATTTCATAACAACAACAATGTTTTTTTTACTTTAGGCTTTACTGCTAGCCAAGAGATGTTTGAGACCACCCAGAGATATCTTAGTGTAAAAGCCTAAAGATCTATTTCTTTAAAATCGGTCACTGGAAGCCTTACGATGGATGCACAGTTCTGTGCTGATACCACAGGGTCACCTCACCATGATTCGGCTTTGCTGGGATGGCAACTGGTAGAAATTGCACTGGATCCTGGTGTGGCACTCCTGGTAAATGTGCTTTGCACAGTTGGTTTGAATCACAAGGTCGGTGATTCAAACCTACCAACTGCTCCTTGGAAACCTTAGAAAGGGTCACTTATGAACCGATTCAACGACACTTAACAACAACAAAAATTGCACTGATTCATAGTATAAACTTTGGAGTGGTATCACAGGGATTAAATTCCTGTCTCTGCCACTTACCAGCAATGAGACATTGTTGTTAAGTGCTGTCGAGTTGGTTCTGACTCATAGCGACCCTGTATAGGGTTTCCAAGGAGCAGCTAGTTAGTTGAACTATCAACCTTATGGTTCAAACTGACTTTGCAGTCAGCACATTTAATCCACACCATTACTTTAGGTGAGTTACTAAACCTTGTTCTGTTTCAATTTCATTATCAACAAAATGGAGATGAAATTTATACCTACCTTTACATGGAAGTTTAGATACTTGTGAAGCAACTTTAAAATGTTATGTAAATGATAGCTATCTTCACTATAGACCAGTTAAAGCTCAAACTAGCTGCAGATATAATTATATACATAATTACAATTAATACTACATTAGTCTATCAAAAGATCTTTATATAATGGTCTAATTACCTAAGACTGTAAAGTTCACTTGGCCTATGAATAGAGCACTTTGATCTTTTGTGAAAAATGCAAACTGCAGGGTACCTACAGGAACAGCAGGTTTTAAACTCTGGCCACTGGGGTGTGAAGTGCTTGGCTGGATATAAGCAGGTGGGTCAGGTACTGGGTCACTGCTTCTGCGCACGGACAGTGGACTGCCTGCAGGATAAAATAAGAGGTGAGAGGTCAAAAGAACCCTGGGGGAAAAGAGAGTGCAGGGCACAAAGCAATTTAATTAAAAAGGTTTACAACATGCCTTTATGTAAAAACATTCTCTTTCTAAGGGTGCTTGTAAATAAATCCATTTAATGATCCTTTGTCATCTACCAGGGGGGCTTCAGAAAGTTCATAGAAAAATTTCACCATCTTGTAATTCTATTTTTCCATAAATGTTTTGAACCTCCCTTCATATTTATACAATGCTATATAGAGATAAAATCACTCAATTCTCATCTTTCCTTACTTGCATTTCAAAACAAGTCATTGTATTTAACAGAAAACTCTTAGGTGATGCAAAAGTTGACAGTGTATAACATTAAACTGATCTAGAAAATATATGGGATTATTAAAAAGAACGATTAGCCAGCAAAGAAGTGAAGAGGTTCACATAGTCAGCGCAATTTGCTATTCAGTGGAGCTAGAAGTACAGTTATTACTGCCATTTGGTGCTTCTCAAGTCTTCTGAATGATGATATATACTGAAATAAATTATTTGCTGGGGTTGTAGCATTAATGTCTGTTGAAGTACACAAAGAGATTGGTTCCGTTCCCTTCCTTTTTTCTGAAGCTGATCAAACTGATAAGAAAAACAAGTTAGTTCTTCTAAAAATATATCCTGATTTCTTTTTAATTTAATGAAAGCTCCCACTATTAAATATTTGAGTCAGTTATTAAATTCTGAAAAAAGGATCATGCTATTAGAAAGTTCAAATGAAATTTAACCTGAGCAGAGCTGGCGGCCTATCTAGTCTGACTGCAATTAGGCCTAAAATAATTTGTTTCATATAATAACAGCCACCATAGAGAAAAATCTCAGAAAAAAAAAATGCTTGTAGTTTAAATATCATTCTCATATAAAAGTTAACTTTTTTGTGTGTGTGCTTTTGGGGAAAAAAAAGTAGAGAACATCTAAAGTGTCATTTCCCATTTATCCATATTCTGAAAATAATTCCCCAACTTTATTGCAGTTTAAAGGAACACGTTTCATAACTCATCTTAACAGAGAAAGTAAATCCATTTTTAAGTTATTTACAAATCTCATTCTTAAATAATATGTTTGCCCAATACACAAGATATAGAATGGCTAATAGTTTTCAGTAACTATTGAATAATGAAATTATTCAAACAGAAGTTACTTTTTAAAAAAACAAAACACCTTTCATAATAAGTAACATGTATTTAGTAGTCCACGCTCACATGCTTTTCTTTCTTTTTTAATTAAAAGACACTTTACTACATTGTTTCCCATCCTCTCCTTCCAATGATTTCCAGCCTTGGAAACCCTGAAACATCTTTCAAGCATGTGACATACCAATAGTTATATGATTCTTCTAATTAAAAAAAATTAAACAACAATAGAAAAAAATAAAAGCCAGAGAAAGCATCAGAAAATCTGAAAACAAAAGTGTTTCAGGTTCATAACAAAATTTTTTATCTAAAGACTAAGTTCCTTGGGGAAAAAAAAGCCCCCTGAATCAACATTAGTGAACTACTAGTTGAAATTCAAAATCCATGAAGTCACCCATTCTCTTCAAAATTGAGAAGAGAATGGGAAAGCTCTCTGGTTCATTTCCAAGCATTAAACACAGGCTAGGACATTGTGAGTCAATTATCTCAAATTGGTAAAATAAAGATACACATAAACAAACAAGTGAAATCAGCATGAAATACTAAAGGATATCAAGACTATTTTCTCCTCCCTCCAAAATAAGTTTACTTAGAAGCAAAGATACGGAAATCTTAATGATGGATAATTTTTAGCCATTGTTTTCTCAGCTGATTCATTTCAACTTAGTTCCTTCTTTAAGGTTTTTTGTTTTGTTTTGCAAGCGAGGTAATAAATATATTTATTCTTATTATAGCAACAATAGATAGTTTCCTTCCACTTTAATATGCAATTCTATTTCTGATTCCTCATTTATAGTCAATAACTGTTGTCTTAATAACAAAATGTTAAATTATCTCAGGTAATTCTGTATGTACATATATTTAGATTGGAATCCTGATGTGGTGCTGTGGGTTAATGCACCAAGTCTGGTGCATTAAAGCCATTTGAACTGCAAGGTCAGCGGCTCAAGCTCACCAGCTGCTCCTTGGAAACCCTATACAGGGTCACTATGGGTCGGAATCCACTCGATGACACTTGACAACAACAACATATTTATATTTGTTTATTCAGTTACCTCCTAGAATATGGCAGTTCAGTTTCATACAAATGTACTACGTGGAATGCTAAAAATAAAATTAAATTAAAAAAAAGATTGCTAAGTCTTTTTTTAAAACATCCCCTCAGAAGAGGTGGGGCTTGATGTCAAATAGGGAGGATGTGCAGTGAAGATCTCCATCAGCAAAACCACAGAATACAAGGCAAAGTGGGTTAAAGTCAGAGCTCCAAAACTCTGAACCACATGTGGAGGACTATTTAAAAAGTTTGAAGGCTTATAGTTAGTGGAACTTGTAGTAGAAGTAAAAAATTGCATACTTTTGAATTTGCCAGGCTCAGCGGCCCAGCCCAGAGCCAACTTGGGTAAGACCAAGGGGAGGAGCAGAGCCACCATGGAATAATGCCCTAGGAACCTCAGAGCAAAGGTGGACAATACACTTTGTAGGTTTTGCTTTGTTCTGATTTCTTTTTTTATGATGCCTGTTCATTGGCCCCCAATGTTTGTGCACCTCCGTTCTGGCGACTAGAGGGGATGCCTGAGTGAGTTACCTCGTACCCCCATCACTAGTGGGTTCGTCTCCCACTCACTCACACAGATACTCTAAGCCCAAAGCTGACCCTGAACTGTTTTTTTTAATAGAGAAAAGGCCAGAACAAGGGGAGTAGAGGGAAAGAGAGTTTAAAAACAAAATAGGCCGAAAATTAAATTAAATCTTAAGGAACAGCATAACAACCAATAGTGGCATCTTGAAATCTGTCAGGCAGCTTTGAAGGAAGGAAGCTGAAAGAGGATATTAAAGTCATACATATATTGTTGTTGTTGTTGTTAAGTGCCGTCGAGTTGATTCCGACCCATAGCAACCCTGTACAGGATTTCCAAGGCTGTAAATCTTGACAGGAGTAGAAATTAGCCTCATCCTTCTCCTGAGAAGCGGCTGGTAGTTTCAAACTGCTGACCTTAAGGTTTACATATTAGGCTACAGGACTTTTTTTCCTCTTCTCTCCTTCCTCTCCCTTTTCTGCGAATATAGACTACAGTATCCAATCTAGTTTTTTATGTTATTTTTTGTTTTGCTTTGTTTTTTTCTTGGTTTTTTTGCTGTTGCTATTTTGATGTTTTATGCTCCCCCTTTTACCTCTGGGAAACTCATTCTCTCCCTATGTTACCCAAGAAGAGACAGCAACTGCTGACATATAGTCAAGCTTCAATCACACTCTATAAAGCAACAAAATCCAGGCAAGAACCAATACGAACTGCCATACACAAGGGAGGCAGACAACACCTGTGAAAGTTACTCTGAGTTATGCAATAAGAGGAGTGAAAAGGGAAGTCCACATACTGATCATATCTACCTGGAATCAATCAGAAAGTATAAAAAATAATAATAAAAAAAAAAACTCAATCAAGTATTAAGGTCCCAGATAAACACCAAACATGTGGAAGAAGCAAAAGCAGATGGCCATATCAGCATATGTCCAGAAACAAGATAAAATGTCTGAAAAAAAATGACCTAGAGGTAGACATGGACTCCATTCTGGAAAGAGGGAAGGCCTTGGAAATGCCTGAGAAGGAATTCAGAAAAACGATTATAAAATGCTGCAAAACACTTTACAATGGAGTTGAGAAAAATAAGGAAGAAATGAGGAAAGTGCTAGAGGAACAATCAAATAAGATAGATACAGCACAGGAAACAATTCAAAACCTACAGAATGAGAACTAAACAATAAAAGACTATCAGAAATAGAAAATACACTGAAAGGGCAAAGGAGTAGAATAGAAGTGATGGAAGGCAGAACTAGAGAGTTGTAACACACATCTCTCAATACCACTAAGATAGAAGAGCATACAGAAAAAGGGATAAAAAATATCTGAAGAAAGTCTAAGATTCGTGCTGGACAACATGAAGAGGAATAACTTAAGAATGATCAGCATTCCAGAACAGGAAGAATGACTCAAGTCCACAGAGGAAATAGCTGAAGAATTGCTGGAAGAAAATTTCTCCAACATCCTGAAAAGTGAAAAGATTAACATTCAAGAAGCTAAACGAACCCCAGGAAGGATAGACACCAAAAGAAAATCACTGAGATATAAACAAGCTCTCCAAAATCAAAGCTAAGTAGAGAATCCTGAAAGCAGCTTCGGAAAAGAGAAGCATTACATATAAAGGCAAGCAAATCAGATTAAGCTCTGATCTCTCAGCAGAAAACATGGAAGCAAGAAGGCAATGGGAAGACACATAAAACCCTGAAAGAAAAAAATTATCAGCCAAGAATACTTTATCCAGCAAAGCTATCAATCAAATAATCAAATAATCAAAACATGCCAGGATAAGCAGAAGCTAAGGGATTTTTCCCAAAGTCAAGTCTGCACTACAAAAAATCCTAAAGAGAGTTCTGTGGACTGACAACCAACAACAACAGACAACAACCAGAGATTGATATACACGGCAGCACCTCCCAGAACTAAATCGACAGAAGGAAGAGTCAAGAACAGAAAAAACTGTAAGAACAAACTCAGAGAATGTGGGAGATCAATCTTTGATCAAAAGAATTACAATGTAAAAGAAGGTAAACACATGGGAACAGAGATCCAGATGGTGAGAAGATCAGGCAGATAACAGATTAAATAGACTGCACTAAGTGGAGGGAAAAGTTAATGGAATATAAGGTAACCTCAAAGAAAATTAACACTTTACAACATACTAAGAGAATGAAAATCCAAGAAGAACATGAAAACATTAAAACTATGAGGAAACTCACAAGAATGAACACAAAA